CTAACCAGGGATTCCTACCATTGCTATATACAAGCTTGATTTTACAGTTGAAATGACTCTGCCCTTTGGAGGTTAAGTCAGTGAGTGACCAAGATTGCGCAGCCCAAGAATCTTCATTATGTATCTAATGTTCCATTTACTAAAACTGCTGGTGTCATGTGGATTTTCCTGTTTACAGTGTGCTCTTCAGTCCCTCATGTACCCATCTCAATCTCAATTCCCAAATGGAGCAAAAGGGAAATGGGGGATTTTTTAAGTGCTGCTAGGCTGTTCTTTGGTTATTATGAAGACTTGGATGTAGGCAGAGGCATGGTTTTAATTCCTGTCGACTAGGTAAGTTAAAGAGAGGAAGGGGGAGCTTGAAAAGCAACACTGAGAAACAGCTGTGTTGTTTCTTAAGAGACAACCGTCCTAGCGGTACTTTTCCCAGAGATGATTCTTTGTCACCCAAAACCATGGGAGGAATACAAATAATACCTCCCAGTGTGTTGACAGTAACTCCATAGATCAGAAAAGGCTGTGGAAATAGGTCAGACCAAAAATATATAGTGGTAAATGCTGGCTGTGATGCTAGACTGGCCAGTATTTGTCAAGTGGGGAGTGTAGCCAGTCTAGCCATGGTGGTCACCAAGACCAAAAAGAGAAATGCAAATAGTGTGGTTATTGTCCTTGTGGTCATATTGCAAAGGGGTCCCTTAGAGGACCATGGAACCATAGACCCTATCCTGCACAGCAATGGTTTCCAAGCATTTTGACTCTGACCTACATTAAGAAATACGTTTTATATATCCACACAACACACGTATGTGGACATGCACATACCTAGACATTTATCTAAAAGTGAAAAATATTTTTAAAACAATCCTCATACTTAATACTCTGATATAAAAAAAAAAAAAAAAGTTCCTCTAAATTGGTTTCATGACACACTACTGAGCTGTGACCCACAATCTGAAAAAGATGTTCTAAAAGATGTCTAGAAACCTTCAGAGTAGTCACTTAGTGTAGGACTACAAGAAAAAAGAAGAAAATAAATTCCAGGGTAGACTGAGAGGTAGAGGTCAGAAGAAAACTATACAACTGGGCAGCAGCTGCAAAAGATGGAAATATTTTTCACTGTAAAGGAAATGCTTGTTCTGTGATAATCAGATATAGGGCAAAACGTGAGAGTCTGAGTGCCTGTGAATAGAATATATAAGACCAGAAGAAAAATCCAAGGAGGTGATGGAAGATACAAAGAAAGAAACAAGGCTAAGAGTTCCATGAAGTCTTTAGTTTGCGGCTAGAAGTCTTCATGACAAAGGACTGATGATACACAGATTTTTGACATGCCACACACACACTGCCATGTATCATGGAGCTATGCACCTAAGTTCACTGCTTTAAAAAAAAAATTGTTTATAGTTATTTTGGTTTCCACCAGCTATTTTTTGTTTTTCCAAAGTGCAAAGTGTAAATGTTTTAAAATAGAAAATTTAAAGCAAACACCCTTGGATCAGGTGTATCTTATCAACCTCAACCATTCAGACATAATTTAGTACTACCTGTGATTGGTTGTTCCCAAGGAACCAGATCTTACAAAGTGGAACCCAACAGAAATTACTCTATAGAATTATATAATTTAAACACAGCCCCTAGTGATGTAGCTTGCTCTGCCCCACCCCCCATTTTGTAAATGAGGAGACATGAATGCCCACCACAGTTAATTGACAGCTGTTAGCGAGAGAGGCAGGACCACAATCTCTAATCTCTGTACTTTGGACTAGTGAACTTTCTACAACACCTGGCTGCCACACTTTAACTAATTGGTCCATAAACTGGCAAAACCCACAATTATATCAACTTTCTTATGGCTCTGGATATAATTGTTAACATGAGAAAAACACTTCACTTTAGGCAAGTGACAGTACCCGTTGTCATCGAGTGGATTCTGACTCATAGCGACCCTATAAGACAGAGTAAAACTGCCCCATAGAGTTTCTAAGGAGCAGCTGGTGGATTCAAACTGTGAGCCTTTTGGTTAGCAGCCGAGCTCTTAACCACTGCGCCACCAGGTCTCCTGCAAGTGATAGATAGTAGGGACTAGAAATGAAGACTAGACTTTTAAAAATGATTAAAAATGGAAAATTCCTGAATGAAGAGGCAGGTTGTGACAAACTCTGAATATATGTATTCTATTCATAATTTTCACAGTGCCTGCAACAATGGGCTCAAGCATAACAATTGTGAGGATGGCGCAGGACCAGGCAGTGTTTCATTCTGTTGTAAATAGGGTCGCTATGAGTTGGAACGGACTTTACGGCACCTAACAACAATATTCATAATTTTATAATGGTTGTCAGACTTCAATAAGCATAAGAACTGCATATTGAAAATGTTAAAATGTGGACTTCTGAGCCTCTAACCCAGAATTTCTGATTAGTTAGTGTAGGCTGGTACCTGGGAATCTGCCTTTTAACAAGCACCACAGGTGATCTGAATAAGGAAAAGAACATTCCATACTACTCTGTCGCCCCCGCCTCCACTCCCACTACACCTCCTGCTTCATGAAAGATGGCATGTCAGAGTCACAGTGCAGAGGGCCACTGGGTCAAATAGCTCTGTAACAAAGAGCTAAGTGACTTTACGGTCAATCAAAATGTTTGTAGCTCAGGAAGGCACAGTCAAACCCCAAGCTTCCTAGATTGATCTGTGCGTAGGAGCAGAGACCCTTCCACCCTTCTCTTGTGCAGGGCACAACTGCCAGGTGCATTAGTCACGTGACCGTTTTCATTATCGTTAATAGTTACGCTGCACTCTGAGTCTGTGTCATGCCTCATGATTTTCATTAGTTAATTCTTACAGTATACCAGTGAGTATGCGGGTATTATTCCCACTCTCACGTTTCCATCAGAATATGGGAAGAGGCTTAAAGGTGACGTCTGCATCCAGAACTGAATGTTCTGGGTAATTTAAGCTAAAGCAAGAAAAGATGTTGGAACACTGCACAATCAGGGCTATTTGGTTTAGGAGTTTAACAGACTAGTCTTAACAAACACAATCAGATCAACTCAACTGCTTGGTGATGAAAAATTCTGACCTCCACCCCCTACACACACACACACACACAAACACACACACACACACACACACACACAAGCAAAAATCTCCCAAATCAACTCCTAAACAGCATGACAGATTTAGCCTGTTTTTCTCAAAGATTATGGAGCCAGTTTGTGGGACAGCTGGTCCTGGGACTCGGCGGGTGCTCTGTCATAGTTTCGATGCATTAGTGATTGACTGTTGTCAGGGTGTGTTGATGGGTCATTAGTCCAAGCTCTGCTGCTAAATTATGAGCTCTTCTTGGAGCTAAGTGGATCTCATTACTTCCTTGTTAATCACTTTCTTATTTGAGAATTTTCACACATTACAGAGACATGTTTGTTTGCCAGGTATGAATAAAGAACCGCTTATAAACTGTGCTGCTGTCCTCGAACGCTGAGATATAAGAAAGCCTTTCTGGCGTGTTTTAAAAGAGGAGACTTTCTAACTCGAATTGTATGTTAATTAATACTGGATTTGACCCCCATCTATATATTCTGCAGCTATTGTCTGTGGCTGCTGTAAATATGTCTAATTTACCATTCATTTTTAATGATTCTAAATTTTAATATTTGCTATTGGCATGGAATTCCCCTCTGGTGAATCTACTCTATTAGTATTATATTAAAAACAGATTTCCTCAGTTAACACAAAAATACAGAGCCTCTTCAGTTTAAAAAGAAAAAAAAAAACTCTCAGGAATTAGGATGAATTATTAATTTGTAACATCTGTGATTGTGTTATGTTACATTGGGGTAAATCCCAAGAGATGCAGGGCAAGCAGCCCTCTTGAAAATGACTTCATATCTGAACCTCCCGGAAACACAAGGCCAGGCACTGTGTCAGCATGGCCTGTCCTTGATAAACAGCTGGATGAGTTCCACGAATTGTAAATGGAAACATGACTGGTGTCACTTACACTTTAGGATAAAATGGTCTGTGCTTCCTTCTCAACAGATATTAGTCTACATTGTACATTGTGATTGACAGAGACATGAATCTGTCAACAATCAGGCTTGCGGGGGTGGGGGTGTTTTGTTTTGTTTTCCTCCCACTGAGAACAGCTTTATAAAAGCTTAAAGTCTAGATGTGACTCTTTTACTACTATTTCTCACCTCCTTTAAATTCTGTAAAAAACACTTTGCTTCAATAAAGTCGACGGCCCTCCCCACCCCCAAAAAAAAAATTAGAGAGAGGTTATTTGCTTTGAATTTTAATCTCTGAGATCTGAAGAGGTTTTCAAATAATGCCTATAATTACAATCTATGGTGCCTGTCATAAAAGCATTATTCATGAAAGGACTTGACTGATCTTGGACTCGAACCAACTATCTGGGTGATACCTCAAACAAGTTTTTGAGCACATTCCAAAATGCTTTTCTCCCTAGACGTTAAAATAGGTAAAATGCTTGTTAAGTGTATCTTGCGGTTTTTTAAAATGTATTTTCATGACCGAAAGTGTTCAAGTATGGAATGTTTCAAAGCCTGATTCAGAGGCCTAGCACCAAAAGCACTAACATACCTTTTCTCTACCCCATTTCCCTAATCATACACCACTAACTACTATGAAAACTCTGTAAGGGATTGTAATGTTAACTGTAGAAAATCAAATGCCTCTTGAGTGCAGCAGATTAGTTTTACAAAATGTATGAAAAATATTAAAATATGTAAATCAAATTTCACTTTATACATGCAAATGCAATTTCTTTTTACACTTTTCAGAACAGTCCCTAAACCCATCCTAGTCCCTTAGTTCAGTATAACTTGGTCTAAAGTTTCTCACAATATAAAAAGGAAAAAGGTTTTTTGGTCTCTGTAGACTGGTGCTATACCATCTTTTCTGTATTCCTTTGCAGTGCTAATAACCTGACTAGATTACATCTTTTAAAGAAATCTATTTTTTTCTTTAAAATTTCTTACCACTTCCAAGCAGTCAATGATCTTGGTTAATTTATCCTCAGGTAAATTCTTCAGCAAGGATACACTACAAAATGAAATAGAAACCTTTATTTAATTATCTCCAATTAAATTATGAATACACATATATGTAGTTATCTTTACGTGCATCTAAAAAATACAATGTACATGTACCACTAATTCTTCCAAAGCAACCTTCAAATATAGCACATGCAAATAATTAAATTTTAAATAAACGGGAAATTATTATGACAAACATATATAAAAAACCAAATCAAACCTGTTGCTGTCGAGTCAATTCCAACTGATGGTGACCCCATGTATTACCGAGTAGAACTGACCTCCATAGGGTTTTTAATGGCTGTAATCTTTAATCTAGCAGATTGCTAGGCCTTTCTTGGGTATGCCCACCTGGGTAGGTTAGAATCGCCAATCTTTTGATTAATAATCAAATGCAAACCATCTGTGCCATCCACACACTTGTGTGTATATATATGTGTGTATATATACATATATGTATGTGCGTGTATGTATGTCTGTCATATACATATATATCACACACAAATAAAAATAGCAAAATTCAAGAACGGAAAAAAATCAAATGTGATCTGTTGGGGGAAAAAAATGTACGTATGTACATTTTTGTTTGTTTTCAGAGTGAATCGCACCCAGAAATGTGTTGCTTTCCACATCTCAGTATCTTTTCTATCAGCATAGGTGAGGAAGCTCTGCTTCCAGTGGAAGATCAGATTTTCATCAAAATCCTTATAATTAAGTAAAGACTAAATCCAAGGTGACATGGAACTAGTACTGAAATAATCTTTGATGATTAGTCATACTTTACTCACTTTTAAAATTAATGATATGCAGAGGCATGTAATAGGATCACTTTTACAGATAATAATATACAAAGACTGAAATAAAATACTGAAAACTATTATTAGAAAAAAATCAGAAATTCCACTCCAAACAATAGGTATGATTAAGCTGGTATGATTAAACTGTTACTTGTTCTCTTAGAGAAATTTCCCTTCTTCTATGCTCGTTTTTAGTCAGCATTACTAATATAACTTCTATAAGATTAATCCTTCTTTCTTACCATCTAAAATTTGATACTCCTAAAGGAAAAAAAAGAGCTGTACTTCAAAAACACACAATTGGACCTGATTTTTTAAGAGAAAGAGAGTTCCAGACTGACTTGTACACGTGCACCAAGAGGCATGTGATCAGGAGACACGTATAAGAATGTTTGCAACAGAATCGTTTGTTACTGCAAACACAGCCCCAGTGGAAGAGTAGAATAAATACACTAGGGTCCAGTCCTGTAGTGGAACTTTACCCAGAAGAAATGAGTGAACCAACCAACGTAAATGAATCCTAGAAAACAATAATGAGGAAAAAACTTTATCACAAAAATTATACCGTTTTTATAAAGTTCACACATAGCCTAAGCTAAACTTTATGCAAAATTGTAAGGAATAATAAGAGAATGATTACTAAACTTCAGAATGCAGACTACTCCTAAGGAGAGAGGGAGGAGGAGGTAGAGAAATTGGAAGGAGCAAGTACATGGGAAGTTTATAATATTGTTACCTTCCTAATTTTTCAGGTGAACAGTAGCTTCATGGGTGTTCATTTTATTATTATTTTTATAACTTATATATGTATGAAATATCCTCATATATACACATATATCACATACTTCATAATAAAAAATGTAAATGGAAAAAGAAAGCTTACTATACGTCAAAAAAAAGGGAAATGTATTTCCCTAATATATCTACCTATTGTTGTAGGAGCCCTAGTGGTGAAGTGGTTAAGAGCTCAGGCTGCTAACCAGAAGGTCAGCAGTTCGAATCCACCAGCCGCTCCTTGGAAACCCTATGGGGCAGTTCTACTCTGTCCTATAGAGTCGTTATGAGTCGGAATCAACTCGATGGCACACAACAACATATTGTGGAAATGGTAAAGGGATAAACAGAAGTTGCCATTGATCACCACATGCCAATCATGAAAGTTCTAATTCTCGTCAAAATCTGGGATCTACAATGTTAGTGAAAACTCTCTCCTGTAAATCTATCACTTTTGGGGATTGGTAGGCAAAGAGATATGAGGAAAAATATTTTGTCTGTCTCCCTCTATGAAGGCAGCGGTCAGGCTTATTGTGCTCACCACCAAATCCACAATGTTTATTGCCTGGCAATATGTATTTGTTGAATGGATAAACAAACGAATGAATGAGGTAAAAAAAAGGAAGGAAGAAAGAAGAGAGGGAGTGAGGGAGGAAGGGAGAGAAAAAAGAAAGGAAGGAAGATGTACTAGTAAATTATCTGAGCTCATCCCACTAAGATAATATATTAAACTCCAAGTGAATGAACTAGTCTGCCTACTGGTTCAGGTTTTATTTCTGAGACACTCAAATGTAAACCCATGAGCAGTGGTTTATTTCTTTATCTTTCTTTGGCCCTTGCATAAGTGTGTCTCATTAGTTTTAAACTCTAACCTGTGTCGCTCAGTTGTTGGACTTTGAAAGTACCTACATTCAGGCAGACCCCACAACATTATGCTAAAGGCATTGGCTGACATATCAGTAAGACACCCACTTGTTATTATTGCAGCTCTCCGCCAGGAGTCATTGCTTTGGGGAGGATAAATCAGCAAGATTCTACATGAGAAACCTCAATAATACATTCATTCAATATTTATTGAGCCTTCACCATATGCTAGGCACTGTATAGCCCTACAAAAAAAGCCTTACTTTACAAAATCAATGGCTTCCCACACTAGTTTTGCAAGATAAAATTACTATACTTCAAAAGAACTTAATTTTTTTAAATCATATGATGCATCACTATTATTACCACTAATCGTTACCTTACAGTATGTGTTACAGCTTCCAAGACGATCAAATATTCCACAAAAACAGAAATAATTTAAATAATGAACTTATACTCTCCAAAATATATATATATATATTTTGTATATATACACTTTTTTATATTTGGAACTGGCTTTTGCAGTTAAACAGACATTTTAGTTGTTTACCTAAAATTAATACACCCAAGTTGTTGAGGTTCAGAACAATCCACAAAATGAATATGTTCCAAGGATCTATGTCATCATGACAAGTATGGTTAACATTTTTGGCAAATTAATTTGCTAGAAATAATAGTGACTTGGAAGATGACATGGCTATTCAAATGAGAAAAATAACCTCTCAGTTAAAGCAAGTGAAAAAATAAAATTAACTAATTTTAATATCATTCTAAGCTAAGCATTGTCAGAAATTATCTTTTGCTACCCTCTTCCAAATTATAGGATGTCTTTCAAAGCCAACTGAACAACACAGGTGAATATTTTAGGTTTTTCTGCATACTTTCTATACTATATGACTCCATCAATACAAGGCAAGAAATAGCAGGAGACATAAACAAGGTTAAAGGGAATTAAATAAATTTTTTTATATATGTGGTATTTATTGCAAGGGAATATTTCTGTTTCTTTGGTTTAATCATGTGGAAAATGGTTACATGGGAGAAGCTATAGTAGAATAATTATTCTGATAAAATGTTCATAAAGTTTTTGGGAGCCAGTCAACACATTCTATGGGTTCCAAAACTGAAGTCCAGTGGGCGTTTTCCAAACTCAATCAAGCCAACTCACTGCCCTCGAGCTGATTCCAACTCACGGCAAACCCATACATGCAGAGCAGAAATACTCTATAGGGTTTTCAAGGCTGTGAGCGACAGGCCTGTCTTCTGAGGCGCCTCTGGGTGGGTTCAAACTGCCAATGTTTTGGTTCGTAATTGAGCGCTTAACCATTTGTGCCAACCAGGTTCTCCTTTCAAACTCAACATATCCACAATATGGGTACAGCATCTTCTACTCTTTCCCCCAATGTGTTATTCTTACCTTCTGAGGAAGTTTCTGTACTCTTCATCTCTAGCTTGAGCTGTCCTTCTCATTATATTCTGGAACACCTCTCGATCTAGTGCCCAAGTTTTAACATTGGTAATAGCTTTAGAAAGATCAAGAAAACAATAAAACACTGTTTAGCCTCAAATAAAAAAAAAAAATACAAGAGTATATTAACAAATAAATTTGTTACATATTCTCATAAAATGATATTTCTTAGAAAATGCATTATTTAAACATGCAAATGAAAGAAAACAGCAATATAAGTAGTGAGTAATTTTATAAAATCTTTTTGGCTTTGAGATACATCATGATTTGGAAGTAGGTAGCAAAAGATTCCCTTTGTAATTATATTTTGCTTAGGATGATATTAAAATTAAGTTCGCGATTCCTAGTTATGCACTACATCATCAGGATATACTTCAGATTCATGCTGTGATACAAGGAAAAGCCAGCCACCCTGTAGCCAATCCCGAGAGGGAAGGATTCACAAGCAGATACTTGGAAATTAAATATCTCTTGTGTGTATGTGTGTGTTTCTACCTTTTTATGTTGTGTTAGACACTGTTGCTAATGAGAGCTAATATATTTTAAAGATAGCTGTAGTTACTTTTAGGTAAAACATACACAATTCATTTTTTGAAATATCATAGTAGAACTTTTCGAGGGAATTTTTTTAAGGCAAGCATAAAATCTGAAAAGCAAGAGAAGTAGCAGCTCGAAAAAGATATACATGAAATTATAGTTGTAAGATAAAAAAAAGAACTAATGAGAGTCGACAAAAATCAATCAAAAACCAAAGCTTTGGTTTACTAAATTTTACAGAGAATGGGAAGCATCATGACCTTCTTGTTAAAAATACTGATGCCTTGGCCCCTCCCCTGCAATTCTGATTCAGATTTGTAAAGGAGTCCCAGAATCTGCATTTTTATCAAGTACTTCAGCAATGCTGATACTGATAATTGTAACCCAGTCCCAAACATCGAGAAACACCACATCTAAATGATTCATAAGAAAAGCTGAAGATTAATATTCTTGTGGCCATTTCCACAAATTAAGTCAAACAGGAATCCTAAGGAGGAGCAATTAAACTAATCTGAAAAGTTATTCAGGAGAACTCCATTAATCTAATTCAATCCCTTCAATATTTATACATATTTTCATTAGTTTAATTAACTGTTCTGGTTTATAATCTAGTCAGAATCTTGTGAAGAATAAAAAACAAACATTCTGGAAGAGCCAAAGGCAGAGGTCAACATAGTAACAAATAAAGTAGCAATTAAAGCAAATACTGGAGTCATTCAGTTTAAAGCCATGTTCTTATTTTATCTACAGGTATCTGATGGAAAAAGGTCCTTTGAAACTTGGGTTGTTTAGACAAACGCTTCAATACAAACTATCCTTTTATAGGCATAGCATTTCTATTGATATGAGCATATTGGGCAAAAATAGTGACTTAACTAGATTAACTTTAAATTTGTGAAATAATTCAAAGATACATTTCATCTACTGTTACCTTTCACAGAGGCAGTCCTTGTACAGTTGTATAAAATGGCTAGTTCCCCAAATGTGGTCCACATAGGGATGGATGACAGCAACTTCTCCCCTTGGAACACTTCTATTCGGCCCTCTGTCAAGTAAAAGTTAAAAACAAACAGAAAACACAATCAAAAATTTGCCTAGTTCTCACAAATTAAAAAAAATAATAAAACAATCAGAAAGCACACAGGTAAGGTATCTCGTGATTCTCAGTACAAGAGAGTGGTTGAAAATGCAGACTTTGAAACCAGCTCTACCACTTACCCACTCCTTGCTGGATTATCTCGAGGAAGTGACCCTCTGTGCTTGGGGTTCCTCATCAATAAATGGGGATGATAACAATACCTACTTTATACAACCGTTTTGAGAATTACATGACTTAATACACGTAAAGAACCTAGAACAATGTCCAACACGTTGTTGTCGTTGTGTGCAGTCGAGTCAATTCTGAGTTCTAGCAAACCTGTAAGACAGAGAACTTCCTCATAGGATTTCCTAGGCTGTAATTTCTACACGTTAAAGAAACTCTGGTGGTGTAGTGGTTAGGTGCTATGCCTGCTATCCAGAAGGTCAGCAGTTCGAATCCACCAGGCACTCCTTGGAAACCCTATTAGGCAGTTCTACTCTGTCCTATATGGTCACTAAGGAGTCGGAATTGACTTGATGGCAATAAGTTTTGTTTTTGTTTTTGTTTTTTTTTGAATCCTTATGGGAGCAAATTGCCAGGTCTTCACTATTGCAGAGGAGCTGGTGGGTTCGAACTGACAACCTCTTGGTTAGCAGCAGTAAATGCTCTGTAAGTGTTAGCTACAGTAGTGGTTCGGAGCCCTGGTGGTGCAGTGGTTAAGAGCTACGGCTCCTAACCAAAAGGTCGGCAGTTCGAATCCACCAGCCGCTCTTTAGAAACACTATGGGGCAGTTCTACTCTGTTCCATAGGGTCGCTGTGAGTTGGAATCAACTCGATCGCAATGGGTATACAGTGGTGGTTCAGTGGTAGAATCCTCACCTTCCATGCAGGAGACCTAAGTCCAATTCCAGCCAAAGTACCAAAACTGCAGCTACCACTCAGCTGTCAGTAGAGGCTTGTGTGCTGCTATGATGCTGAACAGGTTTAAACAGAGCTCCCAGACTAGGAAGAAAGGCCTGACAATGTACTTCTGAAAATCAGCCAGTGAAAGCCCTATGGATCACAATGGTCTGATGCCCTTGTGCGTGGGGTTGCCATGAGTCTGGGGCCAACTTGATGGCAGCTAACAACAACAACATTGTTCATATTACTTTCACTTTTACAAAACTCTTTTCCAGAAGCAGTGTATGTTAAGTGTTTTGTTTAAATTCATTCTAATCTATGAAACATGTTGTGCATGGAACGATTTCTCTTGTACTAGGAGCACAATAATCATTGTGTATCTTGACAACACAGCACAGCTGTTCACCCTGGCAGGACAACTTGTCATAACCCATAAGTGCATTGGCTTTGAAGTCACACTGCTTGGTTCTGAGCCCTGGCCCTGTTAGTTACTGGCTGTGTGACCTGGGGCAAGTTATTATACTGAATTAACTGAAATAAATTAATAAATGGAAAGCACTAGAAGAGCACTTGGCATTCATCTTTATCTAGGCAAAGATGGTGAAAAGATAGAACATCAAACATCACAATTCTTTTGTCTGGAAATTCTTGTCCTCCTACCTTAGGATGAAGGTAAACAAAATCTTATGTAACCAAAATCATATGGAAAAAAGTTATAAATTCTTAAAGGTGCTGGGATAATTTATCTTTCCCTTGAAGAATTAAAGTCTTTCTTCTCCTAATACACCACTAAATAGCTCTGCCATATCTCTGTCCATTCATTCAAAACATTTGATCTCCATACTCACATTGTGCCAGGAACTGTTCCAAGTGACAGAGATACAGAGCGAACAAGACAAAAAAGATACTTGTTCTGGTAGAACTTACATTCTAGTAAGAAATAAACTCTGTTTTGGCTTCAAGTCCTAAAGATTGGATCTGCAATTCAATAATTTCTCATTACAACTAAATTCTATTCCATCAAAACCACTTAGTGGTACTGTCGAGTTGATATCATGAGTCTTGATGCATTTCAAGTTTTTTTTATCTAATTGGTTATGGCTCGTGGGGCTTGAATAATACCGAAGAATTGTATGAAACATCAAAAGTTTAAGCTAAATATGCTTTTACAATTTGCTATTTGTGCTATATTTTATAAAGGGGAGATTTTTAATTATCAAATTAATTTGCTCAATCAGATAATTAAATCAAGTAATTCAGTCCTTGGATAACAACTATAATTAATTTAAATAAAAACCTGTCCAATTCTCATTTCCATAAGTGCTATATAGCCCTGATCCCACTGTATTGACTTCTGTTAAAATTCTACTCTCCTCAAGCCTTTCATCAGAGTTACTGACAAGGAGAAAGATGGACTGACATGAGTTTCTCATCCGTTCCTAGCAGGTTCCTTAACTATCTGTTGACTCAATGACCTATCTTCCTTTGCCAGAATGCTCTCGGGTTCCTAAAGTAGAAGTGAAATGGCCAAGAGATAAGTTGCAAGATGAGGAAATTGCACTGTATCATCCACCCCTAAAAACTTGAAGCCTGGTGAAATTAAGAATATAACTCACTTCTTGTGTGCAGTAACTACTGGCAATGACTGTATAATTTAAAAGATGTCTACCAAGATGCATATGGCAAATGATACACCAATAATTACGAAGCAATCATGTTTAATGAATCAAAGTATATGATGCTATAAATAGAATGCTATAAATAGAATAATGCATGTTTGTTTGTTGGTAACTTCTGCCCCACACCTAAGGCCCCAAGGAGACAGAATAATGAGAGCATTGCTTAGACTATCAGGAACTGTAATGCAAACTGAAAGGCCACAGCACATCTCAGGTTACTGCTCCTTCTGGGTAAGCCACTTTATCCTTTTCCCTGAAGCTTCAAAAGCTGGGCAATTCAGAATTTGACAGGGCATTTCAATATCTTCAGACCCTGTTCAGATAATTTATTGCTTCCATATCTTAAAAAAAGAATTGAGTAGCTATTATAAAATCTAGGCATTCAATATGAATTTGAGAAATTTTTTACCGATCTAACCATTATAATCTTCCCAGCATCTAAGCATGTTCCAGGGGTCATAAACAGAGGAAACTATTAAAAGATTATTAAAAAATCAGGGAGTTCTAATCACAAGGCATTTCACTTGGCTTTTCTATTGATTACATGTACCTAAATCATCTTTTCAAATCATTAGTATGTAACCAAAATATTTTACAAAAACACAAAAATAATTGTTTTGTTCCTGGAACAACTACCTAAAAATGTCAACATAAAAAATAGTATTTGAATGGAAACAACTTTTTGATGTTGTTGAACGGCAGCATTGTAATTACAAGTGTGGGCTCTGAGTTAGACTGCCTAAATTTTCATTCTGCCTCCTCCATTTATAACGTGTGTGGCCTTGGGTGAATTATCTAACCTTTCTGTGATATAGTCCACATTAGAACATAGAGCTAATAAGAACATTATTATAACAACCCTGCCTCTCAGGGTTGGTAAGAAGATGGAAATGATATCTGTCTATTAAGTGCTCAACAAGATAGGAAGTCTGATATACAACAAAAAGAAGAAAAAAAAAAGTTGCTGTAAAGTCAATTCTCACTCATGGAGACCCAATGTGTTTTAGAGTAGAACAGTGCCCCATAAGGTTTCAATGGCTGATTTTTTTCTGGAAGTAGTTCGATCACCAGGCCTATTCTTCCGAGGCACCTCTGGGTGGATACCAACTGCCAACCTTTTGGTTAGCAGTCAAGTGCTTAACCATTTGCGCCACCCAGGGACATAAAGAAAGCATTCAGTAGCTATTAAGTATTATCATCATCATTATTTGAACAATGCTGCTATTTCATGAACTCAATCTGTTAAATTTTCTACAAATAGAGCAATCAGTGATGCGTTTTTATAAATATTTGGGAAAAATCCTAAGACAATAGGCAAATATTTCTGATATGACAATATGAAAAATCTGTGAAACCCACCTGCCAGCACAAAGATATGGTTTCCCGGTTCTCCTTGCTTAATAATGTAACTCCCTTGCTGGTAGTTTCTTCCATACATGCACTCTACCATGTCTTTGATCTGCTGAGGATCCAGTCTCTTCAGAAACTGATTCTTATTAAGGGCATCTGTAATGAGCTTCTTCTCACTGGTGGAATAAAAAAAAAAAAAAAGATGTTAGTTACAATTAATGAAAACCTTGTTTTGCTATTTAACTTCATTCTGATTCTCGATGTTATTACCTAGATACTGTTCTTCTGGCAAGGGCAAACGTTTTTTTCTACAGTCACCAAACACTTCACCCTTATAATCATCATATCGTACATGTAAAACCTTTGAAAATATTTTAATATGTTTTTCTGGTAATCATTATACCAATTTTATTATCACTCCTAATTTTCATCATCACAAATGTAGCATCCCTCAAGATTTCTAGATGCACTAGTAGAGGACACTGATCTTTAGCTGGAAAGCAAATCCACTTGATAGGAAGGAGTTCTATTTAAGAGACTACAAGGCAGTATTCTTTCACTGATGAAGGTATGTACACACAGTGTCTACGGTACTAGGTATTTTATATCTTATTCTTTTATTTTATTTAATCCTCACCACTCTCCAGTTGCTATTTTATGGATAAGTAAACTGAAACTAAGGGGTAAGGGCAACTTATCTATCATAGGATTTTGATCTAAGTCTGTGAGTCCAAAGACTGTGCTGCTTCCATCCAATCCCATTGCCTCTTCTAGGTGGAGAAGTCAACTCCTTGGAGCTCACTAGGTTTCACCAGACGGGGGGGGGGGGTGTGGAGCCAGGCTTTGCCTAAATTTTTATTCTAGGTATATCTAGGCTAGATAGGACCTACATTTCCAATCTCACATCCTATTCATTCCCTAGATTCAGGGCCCACCTTATCGACTGTCATAGATTGAATTGTGTCCCCCCAAAATATCTGTCAACTTGGCTGGGTCATGATCCCCAGTATTGTAATCTGATGTGATTTCCTTATGTGTTGTAAACTTTATCACTATGATGAGGTTATATGTGGTTTCCTTTTGTGTTGTAAACTCTTATCACTATAATAAGGTTATACTGATGAGGTCTACAAGATTTGACAGTGTCTTAAGCCAATCTCTTTTGAGGTATAAAAGAGAGAAGCGAGCAGAGACACACGGGAACCTCATACCACCAAGAAAGCAGTGCTGGGAGCAGGGCATGTCCTTTGGACTGAGGATCCTGCTCAGATAAGCTCCCAAACCAAGGGAAGACTGATGCATCACAAGGACCTTCCTCCAGAGCTGACAGAGAGAAAGCCTTCCCCTGGAGCTGATGACTTGAATTTGGACTTGTAGCCTACTAGACTGTAAGAGAATAAATTTCTCTTTGTTAAAGCCATCCCCTTGTGGTAATTCTGTTAGAGCAGCACTAGTTGACTAAGACATCAATAATCCTAAAATACTCTGCTTTCTTTTGGAAAAGAAGTAGCTCAAAATAGTTACTCACCAGTCGTCATTACAAAAAAAAAACGTCAAATGTTATAAATAACATACTTTATATGCAGATATCACAGAATTATAAGCTGGAAGAAAAGATAACCTTGTTGGTCAAGTCAGAATCTTTGCACGATATATTTGCTCTTACTCATAAAATCAGCATGACCCTTTACAATAGTTTTTTTCTGTGTCTTCCATTCAAGCTCTCTCCCAGCACTAACTTTACTGTTTGAAAACTGGTAATCTTTTGCGATAAAGAAGTTTTCAAGCCCAAGGTAAAACTTCGCAGAATCACATACTTCCTTCATGACCCCACCCATCAGATCACTAAGCTACATGAAAGAAACAGGACTCTTACACATAGGAATTCCTTCTTCTTTACAGTGGCCCCATTATCTTCAGCACCTTGAGAACTTCCTACTTCCTTCATCTAATCTATGATCAAATCTTATAATTCTCTTTTAAAAATATTGCTGTTATCCATTTTATTTTCTATTTTCAAGGATGTCACCACTACCCAAGAACAAATATCCTTAAGTCTGGACAACTGCAACAGCTTCTTTACAGTTATTTCAGCTTCTAGCCTCTTTCCCCTATGGTCCACCCTGCACCATATTATCAGAATAATCTTGCTAAAAAACTAACTTTATCGCAATATCATTCTTCCTCCATCCACTACAACAATTCATTCAATTAATATATACCAAGAACATATCTTTGCTAGGTGCTCTTCTAAGTACAAGTTGTAGAATCGTGAACAATACCAAGAAGCCCCAGCTCATGAACCATTCATGCTAGTGTAACATTCTAACTAATATTTCCTCAATGCCCATATTTCCCAATTTCCCAAAGTATGTTTCAAGAAATTCTGTTTCTTTATGCTGAGTTTAAATCATTTTCAAAACTCATAATGCAGAATTTAAAAGTTCAAAGAAGTCTTGCAGTACACTAATCTATTTAAACCAATGTTTCCCAAACCTTAATGTCTGTCTATCTCTGTTTGTTTGACTATACTTTATTAACATTCCATGGAAGTGCTGTGAAATATCCTTTGGCCCACAGAAGAACATCAACAGCCCAGAATCTGGTATTCACCATTTCCCACCTACGGTTCTACTCTAACCATCTAGTACTTACTGCCTAAAATAAATCCTTTGTTACAGATAGGTTGGTATGCTCACTGTTCTCCTAAGCATGCTAGCTTTATCTTTAAGGCCTAGAACATACCTTCTCCCCTAATTTAAATTAATTTCTCATTCCTTCCATCTATCTATCATATACATCCACCAAGAAACTCCTTAAGATCTAGTCAAACTTACCTGGATGCTATATAGCTCACACAATCCTTTCTTCTACTCTGAACTCCTACAGTACTTATATTCACATCCATTCAATTCATCAAAGTTTATTGTGCACTTATTTAGGATACAAAAATTAATTAAACATGGCCCATGGTCTCAAAGAGTTCATAGATCCTTTTAACTCAATTTTGCGTATAAGCACATAAAATTCTATTAGAAAGGAGTTCCCTCTATGAATTTTTCTCTAAACTAGATTATAAATTCTTAGAGGAGTTACTCTTGTTTTGAATTTCTTTTTAAGAGGCAGCACACTGCAGTGATTAAGACTATGAACTTTGTAATTTGTCCTATAACTCTGACAGGCAAGCTATTATCAGCAAAATTTTCCCACTCCCCCAAAACAACTACAAAAGCTGATTAAAATACGTATTTATAAATTTGTTAGAAAGCATTAGAGATCTATCAGTATAGGAAGGACTTGGGGGGCCACCACCGCTATGAAACTAATGCTTCTCCTTTCAAGGCATTTGCTGCTTGGAGGCAGTGGAAGAACAGTTTAGCAATCTCAAAGAGCTGGGCGGGGGTGGTGCAGGGAGTTGGTATTCAAGGTGCACCATGAAGGAGAGGCCCTGATATAAACCCAGGATTTCAGGTACGACATTTGAAGTGCTACAATTTGGAGTAAGGGCTAACCAACAACAGGCTAGTTCTCAAAAAGACCAAAAACCAACTTGCAAACAGATACACTACTTTTTGAGTTAAAATGATTTGTCCCTAGCTTAAATGTCTGTGATAAGCAAAGATAAATCCTTTCTGCAGGAAGTTCACATAATCTAGAGACTCAAATTATCTCTACTTTTTTTTTCATAAACATATCCGGCATGCCATAAGAAACTGCCAGTCAGTCATACCAGGAGAAAAGACCCAGTGACTGAAGACCAAGAGAAAAAAAAAAAAAAGACAATAAGAACAGATCCATAGTAGATCAAGATGTTGTGATTATATCAGACACAAACTTTAAAATAACTGTAATTAATATATTAAAGAAAACCAGGAACAAAATGATGAGTATCAGCAGAGAAAAATGAATCTTTTTAAAAATTCTAATGGAAATTCTACAATTAAAAAAAATGCAATATCTGAAGCTTAGAACTCAGTAGACGAGTTTTAAATCAGACAAGGCATTGCTGAGGAAAGAATCAGGAACAGAAGATAAGCAGGTAGAAAATATGTAGATAGAAGGTTGGTTAGACTCTATGGATGGCAGATGGAGGTGATGACAAAAGGGGCATATGAAGCATGGTAGAGAAGTTGAATATATGTGTAATATGGGCCACTGAAAAAAAGAAAGAATGTGGCTGAAACAATATATAATGAGATAATATTAAATAATTTTCTTAAACCAATAAAGAGACACTAAGCCACAGACTTAAGAATCACTATAAACTCTGAGCAACATAAATAAAATCATATACAGGCCCATTATAGTCGAATTTCTGACAACCAAGTACAAAGAGAAATATCCAAAAAGTAGCTAGAGAAAAGAGACACATTACCTTCAAATGAGTAACAACAGGACTAGTTGATATCTCAACAGAAATAGAAAGCTGGAAGACAGTGGAGTATCTTCAAAGTGCTTGAAAGTGCCTATCTCAAAATCTTTACCCAGTGAAAATAGGCTTCAAAAATGAAAGAAAAATGAAGACATTTTCAGAACATTTTTTTTTCATTAGCAACTGACACATACTAGTGAAAATCTCTAGACAGAAAACTATCCCAGATGGAAACTGGTAGGTGTTCGCAGGAAGAAAGAGCAAAGGGAAAAGTAAGTATGTGGGTGACTAAAGGAAGCCTGTATTTATAAAATATTAATAACAATGTCTGATTGAGTTTAAAATATATGCTAAGTAAAACGCATGAAAACAACAACCAAAAAATGCAGGGGGTGGCAATAAATTGGGTTAACATAGCTTAAGGTCTAGGAATTGATAAAAGTACTAATCAATATTAGAACTTTAATAAGTTAAGGGTTTATGTTGTAACTCTATGGTAACCCTAAAAGATTAGTCAAAGAATGTTTAACTAGAAAGATAACGGAAGGGAAAATGGAATAATAGTATATACTTAATTAATCCAAAAGATAGCAAGGAAGTAGAGAAAAAGAAATAGAAGTGGAACATATAGGAAATAAATAGTAGGATCTTAGATTTAAACCTATATATTTTGAATTTAAATTAAAGATAAATGTACTCAATACCCCAATTTAAAGTTGAGATTTCTAGACTAGATTTAAAAAATTAAAAAAGAAACACAAAATACACGTTATTTATAAGTGATATGCCTTAAAGATAATGGTA